CTAAATCCCCGGCCCTTAGTATTTCTGTTTTACTAGATATTTTTCCCCAAATAATTAACTTTTGGTTTCATTTCCAGTATATTGTGTGATTTTGTCACTAATTTCTACTTTTATTTCATTTTTTTTCCTTTGGTTTATTTTGTTGTTCTTTATTATGTTTTTGACATCTTCCAGAATTCAGAATCTTCTAATTTAAACTATATACTTCCCTCGAAGTATTGTCACACCCTTTAAATTTTGTTACAAAACATTAGTGATATTTAGTTTAGAATATTTTATAATTATCAATGTTATTTATTTTTTAACAGACAAGTTAGAATCTTCATTAATTTTGGGCCAGGGATTTAGCTCAGTAGTTCTGGGGCCTGCCTCGCACACAAACACAAGGTCCTGAGTTCAATCCCTGGTACCAAAAAAAAAAAAAATCATCTGCCCAACTGAATAAGACAAAGTGATTATATAATTATCAATGTTATTTATTTTTTAACAGACAAGTTAGAATCTTCATTAATTAAGGGCCGGGGATTTAGCTCAGTAGTTCTGGGGCCTGCCTCGCACACAAACACAAGGTCCTGAGTTCAATCCCTGGTACCAAAAAAAAAAAAAAAAAAAAAGAATCTTCATTAATTTTCAAACATATAAGGATTTTTAATTACTTCTCATTGATTTTCCATTACTCTGATCTAGCCCAATAATAATGACTGCATATTGATTCTTTACAAATTGTTAAGTTTAATGAATAGCATGAAGTCAGTGTTACACACCACTTGTGCACATTTTCCTCTGTATGTCTAGATCAGGTTTGTTAATTGTGCTATTCAAATCTGCTATGTTCTCTGTCTAATCATCCCAGTATTTAAATTTTTCCTGTGCTTTTTGATGCTGGCTTATTTTTTCATTCTAGTGCCTAGTGCCTTCTTATTTGTGCATTTTATCATTTTTTTCTTTTGGTGCTAGGGAATGAACATAAGCTGGTGAGCATGTGCACTGATCTGAACCCCACCCCTTACTTTTATAATTTTTTAAAGGGAAGTTCAAGTTCTTTTTTATCTTTTGGTTTTTTTCTTTTGTCTTTGTTTGCACGTACTTCTACCAGTTGCCTTTGGTAACAACTCTTTAGGATCACTTAAATTCTCCACCTGATTTTTTGTATCACACTACTTGCTATGTAAGACACAAAAATATTTGTAAATATATAGGCTCAAGAAGCAGAGGTGAGGGTGAGATGGAAGGAACAGAAAATTTTAAGGAATAGTCTGTTAAGACATTTTATTATAATTATAAAAAGAAAAAATTAACCTTTAAATATAGCTGTGAAGTTTCTAAGGGATGAGAGATTCATAGATCATAACTCAGCCTCTACTTCCCCAAAGTTAATTCTGAACCCAAAGCAACAAAATTTAGCAGGTAAAATTATCTACAGGTGCGGATCATTTGGGAGTAAGAGGCAACAGTATCCTCAGGTACAAAAGTGAGATCATGGCCTTCCCAAAGACAGAAAAAGGAGGAACACCTGCTTTACAGCTGCTGATGTTCAGCCGTGTGCACTGCCACCTCCGATCTGGTGTCCACCTGTGACACGGGAGTGATAATGACGTCTCACTCAGGGCCCTGGGGAGCAGGAGGTGACCTAAGGCACCAAAGCACTGGGGCAGAGAGCAGCATCTAGAAGATGTCGGGTAAATGCCAGTCAGTGTTGTGATGTTTTTTTTTTTTACCTGGAGTAAAGCTCCTCAAATTGAGGTCCCCACGTGCTTCACAGCAGCACTTCAGGAATTACTACTCATCTTCAAGAAGACTGCATTGCACTGGACGATACTATGACAGAACAAGAAATATACCCTTGGCCTCTGCTCCCCAGTTCCCAGCACAGAGCTCACTAAAAGTCTTGTATGGGCACTAGGAGAAGCGTTGATCTGATATTTGGGCTTTGACCTCAGTTGCTGACAAAGTTCTCCTGACTTTTATCATTTCCTGTGTGGCAGGAACATCTGACACAGAGCCCCTGAAGCCCTTGGAGTTTCCTGGGAGATGGGAGGGTCTTTTGTTCTAAGGAGGAAGATCTTGGTAGGCTCCTGCAGAGCTTCAGGGTGGGGCCAGTTGCTAGGGAAACCACCTGTGTGACCGGAAGGTTGGATCACACCCAAGTGGAGGGCCATGGAAGTTCCTGAGTTAGTCGGGACAAGTCACAGTCCCAGCCTGCAGCTGTCAGCTGAACAGGAGACAGTCTCCCGGGACTGGGCTTTAACTGGGGCACCGGACAGTCCCCAGGCAGGCAGTGTCAGAATTGGATTGAATTAGTGGATTCCCAGTTGGTGTCTGGGGACTTCTTCAAGTGATGGGGCTGAGTGGAGAGGAGAGAGGAGGAAAAGTCCTTTAAGGTTTTGTTTTTCCATCCTTATAATGATAAACATTCTTTTCCTTTGTGTTTGTTTCAAATTGCACCCAGTGATTTTAATAACACTGGTTACCTTGTGCTAGAGGAAAGTACTTGCAATGAATGTCCTTGATTAATAAAATGGAGAGGATAAACCATGGTAGAATAAAAATTTTCAAATATTAAATAACGAGTGAATAAATACAGCCAGGTACTTTACAGGCTTTGAAACAAGGTCCACAGGAGAAAAAGTAAAGGAATTCTAAGTGACAGCTCTATTGGGAATTAGGGGGCCAGGGCTGATGGAATTGTCCCTCTTCTCCTCCCAGGTCACAAACTTGCATAGAACATCTGCCATGCTCGGTGGCTCTAACCCTCCAACAGTTACAGAGAGACTCTCCCTGCATCTCCCAGGGGGGCTCACAGAGCAGATCCGAAGCTCAATCCGCACCTGGCCGCCTCTGCACCCAGACTCTTTCTACAATGCTCACTGACCCCAAAGGAGCCTTATCCACATTTTTTTCCTGGATTTCAAGAGATTTCCGGTCCTCAGACTTGTCCTCTCCTCTCAAACGTGTCATTCTGATAAGCCCCAGCCCTTCAGTGGAAAAGGCCCGCCAGAGCCTGCGGACATGAAGGCTTCACCTGGGAAAGAGAGAACCAGGTCAACCACTCAGCCAAGGAACTGAGCACCATCATCAGAAGCCAGTAGAGGTGGTACAGTTTGGATCTCTTGTGTCCCCGGAGGTCTGCGTGGTAAAGGCTTGCTCCTCGGGTGACTCTGACTCCACTGGGAGACGGCAGAGCCTTCAGGATGTGGTGCCTCGTGGGAGGGCATTGAGAGTGCACCTTGATGGGACAGTGGAGCCCTGGGCCCTTCCTCTCTCTCTTTCCCTCCTTGGCCGTGAGGTGAGCAGATTTGCACTGCCACACACTCCCCACCACAGGCCCACAAGCAGTAGGTCTGACTGATCACAGACAGGAACCTCTGCAGCCCCGAGCCAAAAGAAGACTTTTCTCCTTGTATTTGTTACAGTGGTGAAAAATTGACTAACACAAGAGGAGAGAATACTGTTGCCTGTCAGATTTGCCCTTGATCGAGCCCTCTGTGGACACCTGTCTGATGCATATAGGAAGGGAGCGATGCCAGGTCTGGTGGCACACACCTGGGAGGCTGAGACAGGAGGATCTTAAGTTTGAACCCAGTCTGAGAAGCTTAGTGACTTCATAAGACCTTGTCTCAAAAAGGGAAAAAAGAAGGAAAGAAGGAGAGGAGAGAGGGATGGGAGGGAAGGGAGGGGAGAGGGGGGAAAAGGAGGCTGCAAGACGGGCTTTCTGGCCGTGACACTCTTCTGCATGACACCATGAAAAGGCACACATTGCACATTATACATCTGTCAAAAGCCAGAGAACATGGCCATAGTGAGCCCTAATGCAAATCATGTACTTTGGGTGATAACGTATCAGTGTAGGTTCCTCACTTCTAACAAATGTATCACTACCTGGGACACTGATAGTGGAGGAAGCTACCCATATGGGAACTCTGTAATTTTCCCTTGCTGTGAATCTAAAATTGCTCTTTAAAATATATTTAAAAGAAGAAAGGGAGAGAGGGAAGAAGGTGCAACAAAACCTGACTACCATTCCATGCCGAGCAAACTCCTCGGGCCGACTACATTCCCATCCCTCGAAGCCCAGAGTGTTGGCTCGGCGCTGCGGTCCGCACTGGTGGGCAGCTGCCACCTTGGGTGACCCAGGCACCTGTCGCTCTCAAGCTTTGCCCCTGAGCTCGGTGAGTGCTTCCCCTCGAGGCCTTGGCAGCTCTCAGAGGCAGACACTTGCATGGGTCAGTGACCAGGTATGTGGCCGTTCCCAGGGACCCTGCGACAGCTGTTGGCCAGATGTGGGGTCTAGGGCCCCGGATGAGTTCAAGCCCAGCATCCCGGCCCCAGGGCTGGCCCTCCCCTCTCTCCCCTTCTGTATCCAAGCCCCAGTACAGCAGTTAGGTGAAGGCTGTCGAGGACCCCAGGCCCACAGCCAGTGCCACAGGGGAGGGCACAGGCCCTGTGGCCCTTTAGAGCATGTGCTTGCTGCATACGATTCAGCTGTGGAAAACAAAGTGACGTATTAAGTATAAATAATGAGGAAGCAAATAGTTTGTGAGATACAGACAAAACTCAAGATGGGTTAGGGATAGTTACTAAATCCCCTGTGAGACATAGCTGACAGTAGATAAAATAGCTAGAGCACATCTGTGCTGAGTTTCCCCGGGACAGATGCCCTGCCATGAGGCAGGGCCAGGTGTGCTGGTACACACCTGTAATCCCAGCACTCAGGAGGCTGAGGCAGGAGGACTGCCCTGAGTCCGAGGCCTGCCTGGGCTACAAGAGTGAGTTCAAGGCCAACTTGAACTATATAGTGAGACCCTGTCTCAAAACTAAATAAATAAAAGAGGCACACAAAGCCCCAGGATTCATTATACCTTCTCTGTACACAATTAACTTGATGCCCCGAACACCACGGTACAGTAAATACACAAGAGGTAGCCAGGCACCCAAATTCATGATACATCATGTACCACGATGTACACGAGATACTCAACAATCCCGAGTCTTAAATCAGCCACTGTTTTAAAATGTACCTGGGATTTATTTTAATCGGACACAGTAAGATGCATGGACATAGAAATGACTGTCATGCGGGATGGTTTCCTATTCACAGGTCCCAGAAACAGGAACCACAGCCAGCACTCAGGCCACCCATGGAGCACCGGGTCAGCCAGGAGCCATGTAAGGGAGAACACAGGCGGCCAGAAGCCTGTATTGTGGAAGGAACAGGCGGGGCGGGGTAAACAGGTTAGCTGGGCAGGTTAGCACTGGATGTTAGCTTGAATAATCCCACCCAGGCTCTGGAGTACAGGGGTGGCCCCTAGTTGCTCAGTATGGGACCTGGGGTGGTTAGGACATGATTTAATGTCCCAGATTGCAGGAGCCTGGTGGCAGGAGACCAGTGAGAGCTATGGACTCAGGATTGATTGGCTCACAAATCAAAAAAGTGCTCTAGCAGGCAAATTGCTGGCTATCTCAGGATCAGGTCACGCTGATATCCAAGCCTGAAAAATGTGATTAAGACAGATACCTGTTGGTGAGAGCAGTCTGGCTCCAGCCCGCCAGCAATCACACAGACTGATCGTTGAGTCACAGCTGTGGCCAGGCAAAAGCATCCTGCAGATCTCAGCAGCAGTGAACAATGACCTTGGAGCCCTTTGGCTGGTGACTACCTTGCTCAGCCTTAGCTCGAGGGTCCTTGTGACACCACCCTCAGTGAGGCAGGCTAGCAAGGGGCTCTGGGGCGCAGAAGACTGGGCTGCTGTCTCAGGCGCAGAAGGAAAGCCAAATTCTCCCAGTTATGGTTCGGCGGAGTGGTTCTGCTGCCTCCCTTGTACCCTTGTCCTGTATGTGTCACCGCCCTCTTTGCGTTTTCCTTGCTTCATTCTCCATGCTCCTTTTAAAAGGAATCAATACAGTGATTTAGCAAGACCCTGTCTCAAAATATTTTTTAAAACTTAGCAAGGGCTAGGGATGTTGCTCAGTACAAAGCCCTGGGGTGAATCCCCAATACTGCAGGAAAAATAATCAATACAGTGTGTAATTGGGGCCACTCAGTGTGGCTGTGAGTCTGTTCTTTAGCTTGGGAGCGACGGCTTGGCAGCGCACTTAGAGGCCACCGTTGTGTCACAGTGGCCTTTCCCTCCCTCCTTGCCACTTCACCGAGGGCCCTCCGGGAGCAAGAAACAGCCTTAGATTTACAATCATCCATGATCACTAGTGTGCAGGTTATAAGCTTGTGCAATATGAAAAGTTAATATATAAGAGTGAGAAAAAAGTGAAAACCAATTACTTGACTCTTGAAGATTCAGGTTCTTTGGTTGTCTTTTTAAGATCTCTCTAGGCCATTTACTAGACATGTTCACATGCAGAAACTTGCTGGTGGCCTTGGGTGTCCTTGCCCTACCTGGAACAAGGAAAAGAGACAAAGGAAAATTCCCCAAAACCCAATAAACTAGTGATGAAGAAAGAGGAGAGAAGAAAAAAGAAAAAAACCCAAAACACACACTCTGACCAAAAAAGTACAGAAAAGAAATTTCTCTGTGGTGTTTGAATGTGGGGTTTCTTCCAGGATCTGCAATTTGGAAGCAGTGTCTGAATTAAGACATGTCCCTGCTCGCGCTGGTAGATAAAGATGGCAATCAGACCCCAGATCTGTGCTGGATTCAGGGGCCAGTAGGCAATAAGAGTAGGACAAGGGCACCAGTGCCATGACTTTGAAATCCAGACCCATTCAGGCTGGGTCTGGCCTCTGCCATGGGCATGGGCCCTGTGTCCTTTAGCTCAAACCCCTCGGGGAGTCACTTTTCGGCCCATTCCCTGGCTTTGGCCACCTTTCATGGCTGTCTCTCACCCAGTCACTGTGGGAACATAACACTGGGAGCCCAGAAATGAAGCCACTCCACAGGTGCTCTTATTATAGACAGCTAAGTTAGGTAAAATATTATAGGCAGTCAGATGGGGCTGAGACCTCAGAAAGTTGGACAAAAGAGGAAAGCACACGACGACTATGGTCAGAGACACATCAGCTGGAGACCAGGTCTCAAGATAACGACAAAAGGAACAGGCCTCCCTACTTCCCCAAGGGATGAGGTTAGTGATAACACCTGGTCTGATAAAGTCTAGACAGGCATCAGTCACCTCAGTGGGTGATCAAGATCCCCAGATCTATCACCTTCCTGAGAAGTTCTGTGTTCTTTCCATGTGCTCTTGCTATGTGACTTGCTCCCCCATTGGATCACTGTTACCTAAGCGACTGTACTTGTAACCTTATTGGTTGACCATAGCTTTAAACCACATTGTACCCACATGGTTGTGCTCTATAAAACTTCCACTGAGAAGGGGGGTCTTAGGCTACCCAATCGGGACCCTTCCTGCCTCTCAATAAATGTTTTCCTACTCTTAATCTCCATTGTTCCTAGAATTCATTCTGTGATTTTAGAGAACATGAACTCAGTGTATCAGACATCTAGCAAGTTGGGAGGTATAATTTTCCCTTATATTATTTGGAGGTCCATATATCACTCTGAGGCCCAGGTTCAAACAATCTGCACTTCCCCAGAATAGCATCCAACCAAGCACTCTCTCCAGGAATATGGGGGATGCTTAGACTGGAGTTACTCACCAGCTGATGCCTGTGGAAAGACTCATGTGGGAGCAGAATCCTGTGCAGTCCCATCAGCCATGTTTCTCCCTGAGGCCCTCCCAAGTCCTTAGCTTTCACTTCGTCTCAGTAGCTTCAGTCTCCCTTGCCTGCTAGCTGTGAGCTCAGAGCTAGGAAGAAAGTACAGACTCTTGTCCCTTCTGCATTATAGTTTGTCTCTTCAGTTTCTCCATAGGTTTTGACTTTCCTGTCAGATCCTTCCTGGTTCCCAGGGATCTACTTCTCTCTTATTTCCTCAAGTTGTTATTTTCCAGTGTCTCAATTCCTAATCTCGGAGAGGCTGAGTTATTGTTACTTCTCACTCTGCCATTTCCCAGAAGTCCCCCTTTCATGATTGACTTCACAGTGTTTGGTTTTGGTTTGTTGTTGTTGTTGTTTTTTGGTACTGGAGATCGAACTCGGGACCTTGTGCTTGCAAGGCGGGTGCCAGAACCACTGAGCTAAATCCCCAGCCCTACATCACAGTTTTTAATGATACTTTTTCAGGCTCAAGTGTCCAGCATCCCTTTGCTGGTGCTCCAGCTACCTTTGATGGAATCTACACACCAATCCAACATGAGATAAAGTACACCTCAAGGCCCTCAAGACTGAGTACTGAAATAAGCAAGGCAGAAATTGTAATAGTACTGCAAAATAGAACCTTAAAAGTCAGATCTTCTTCCCCTCCTGCTGAGCTTATCCAACACCCTCCCTTCTCAGCCCAGGCCTGACAGAATATGCAGAGGCAGGAGCCCAGTGTCCTTTCCACAAGGAAGGGGCTATTGAGCTGGAGATTGCTGGAAGTGATAAGCAAGCTTGGAGATCCCCTGCCCTCTGTTTCTCACTGTAAAATGCCCTGACCCACCTGTACACAGGTAGATGGTGATTTGAGGCAAATGGACCCCTCTGTTTCCTTGGAGCTGGCTTTGAGTAAGTTCTCTTTTCCTTTTTTACCAAAGCACATGGCCTCCTTTGATTTGGTGAGTGGCAAGCAAACAAACCTGAGCACCTGGGAGCACTTTCATTTTTCTTTCAAGACCAGAAATCTGAACCATATTGAGGAAAGAAATAATTTCAAGGGGGGAAGGAAAGGGGGGAAAAAAGAGGATTGAGATGTGCTATGTACATGCACCCGTTCCCCACAATGAATCTAATCATTATTCACTGAGAACATGTACCAACAAAAATTTAAAAAGAAAGGAAATAATTCCTTTTCTCTCCAGTCAGTAGGCTTCCAAAATTGTGAGGAATCAGTAATAGGTTCTGTGTGAGTAGAACCAGAGCTGCAATGGCAGCTCTGTTGCCTGAAGGGAAGCTCTGAGGCCAGAGCCATTCTTCCCGCGGGAAAGGAGCTTTTCCACAGCAGGAAGGAGAACCACTTTCCCTGGGGTTGTCCTGTGTGCACTCGCTTGACAGGCACGGCTACCACCTACCAGGCATTCACACATAAAAGTTTCTATTTACAAAGGCCCTCCTGGATGGCAGCACACTTGAGCCAAAAATGACGCTGGACTCGAAACAAGGAATACATCCAAACCCTTCCTGTGTCTCTGGGTCTCATAGCATCCTGGGAAGCTGGGACCTGATGCCACAAGGAGCCAGCCCTCGTGAACCTCCTGGGTCCTACTGTGCCCTTGATGAAAGAATTCAGTCAAGACACATGGGCGACCATGCAGAGGTATAGGTAGGATTTCTTAGAGTTATGCCTTCGAGTGAGAAGGAGTGCAGTCCCACAAAGGCATCTGCCTGACTAGAAGTTTCGATATCTTCTTATGGACTGCAGAGTCATTCCTGAGCTTCAAGGAACTGATGATTTTCATTGATTTGTTTGCACAATGTATATGCAAATCAACATCTTTCTTAGGGGTTATTTTGGAATGCTGATGTCTCTAAAATGTCTTCCTTGTTCTTTTCCAGTAGTCAGAGTTCCCTCAGGGGCCTTAATCATACAAGCATCTAAATCGGGTCTCAGCCCAAGGAGAGAGGGTGTTTAAAGAATGTTCTGCTCCCCAAAAAGAAACTAAATTTAATGCTAAAAGAATGCCTCCCTTCCTGCTAACAGGGGGTGTGGGCCATGGCTCCTAGGAATGCTGTGCACAAATTCTAACCTTAAAATGTCACTGTGCTCCGAGGGATCACATTAGGTCTGAGACCTAACAAGTGGTTAGAAATGTACTATACACCCAAGGCTTTGCTTCTTTACTTAGCTATAACCGGCAAAGCTACTTCTGGTTTGGTGGCACTGAACTTTAGTGTAAGTGATTCCATTTTTTGTTGTTGTTTGTTTTTAGTTTTTTGAGACAGGGTCTCACTAGGAAGTTTAGGCTGTCTCTATGTAGCCCAGGCTGGCCTCGAACTAGCAGTGACCCTCCTGCCTCAGCCTCCCAAGTGCTGGGATTACAAGCATGTGCCACCATTACTGGCTTGAGTGGCTCCATTTTGACCTTTGGTCTGGACAGTTGGAGCCTCGTAGAGGAGCTGAGTCTCAAACAATGGCTTCCTGGCATCATTTTTTTTCTTTTTGGGGGGGGACTTGCTAGACGTATCTAGAGGACATTTTTCAATGTCCACTGTGGGTAGCCACCCCACCATGTGTACATTCACAGCCTGTAGAGACAATTTCAGAAAAAGGCAGTTGAATACTTCTTCTGTACTTTTTTTTTTGGGGGGTGTACCAGGGATTGAACTCGGGAACTTTTGCTTTCAAGGCAGGTGACGGAACCACTGAGCCAAATCCCTGGCCCCCTTGACATTTTTATTTAACAGGAGTGATGACTGCTTCCTGATGGATTCTCTTATCTGACAGGGGTTTGAGCTAAAAGACACAGGCCCTTTGTCCTTCAGGCTTGCTAATGTCTAACTACCTGCCTAACAATAGTTTTTATTTTAAAATGCAGTAAGAAGCTGGGCATGGTGGCCTGTAATCCCAGTACTTGGAAGGCTGAGGCAGGAGGATCGAAATGAGTTCAAGCCCACTCTCAGCTACCTAGCAAATTCAAGACCAGCCTGTACTACATAGTGAGACCCTATCACAAAAGAACCAACCTGGGCCGGGGATTTAGCTCAGTGGTTTCACTGCCTGCTGTGCAAGTGCAAGGACCTGAGTTTGATCGCCGGTACCAAAAAAAAAGAACCAACCAAACAAAAAACTGCAGTAAGACTCCCTCCCCTGCTGAATTCACAAGACTGTGCACAGATCACCTGAGAACTACAGATGAACATGGAGTAATGTCGTTAAAAATTGATTGCTGGGGCTGAGAGTGTAGCACAGGGGAACAGCACAGGCAAGGCCCCGATTCTATCCTTAGCACCACAAAATACCAACAGAAACCAACCAAAAAAAGATGATTTATTGTCAGAAAAAGATATCCAAACTCACATGTGGTCAGTGTCTACATGGCACTGCCGCCTTCTCGCTTGAAGGTGTAAACCACTCCATATCTGCTTTACAGTCAACCCGAACAGTTCTTCAGCACAGCCACCCATGTGTCTTGATGAATTCGCTCATCCAAGGCACAAAGCACAAGGAGCAAGGGCTGGTTCCGTGTGCCCTAAAGACCCAACTTCTGGTGACAGCATAGCTGGGTCCACACAGCAGGACACTGAGTCTCAGCCGATGTCCAGAGTCGGGTGAAGAGAAAGTAGGGTGCAGCTACATTCAGTGCAGTCAGAGAATCAGCTACAATTTCATTTGCCTCTTTCCTTTCTGAAAGAAAGCTTCAGGAAACACTAAGGAGTTGAAATTTCTTACATATTTTTCCACA